TTTTAAGTAAAATATTTGCATCTCCTTTCCTCCTCCAGGCTTTTGAACTTCTGAGGTCAACAAGGACAAACAATACCACTAGTGTCTCTTTGCAAAAAGCTGGGTTTGCTGTCTGCAAGCAATGGTATCATTTCCATAGCAACCCCCTAACTATTAATTTTCAATTAAAGCAGACACAAAGCGGACAGCCTCAGGCTGGCAGACAGTGTCAAGAGCCCATCTCTGTAGGCAACAGTTTCACACAGCTACCCAGCCATAGGTGCCTCCTGCACAAAGCTGTTTCAGGGGTGCGTCAAGTTTGGCTGGTTACAATGACATTAACCTTCAGTTCAGGCCTAAATAATTTATAGCAAGCTTCACTAAGCACATATAAAGGTGACAAACACTAGGAAACGAAATAATTAACTAATGCAAATACTTCTCAATGTACACAAACAATCACGGGGTAAAAAAATGAATTAGGAGGAAGTGTATATCCATTCTATAAAGCGATCATTTCCTGGGAGTCCTATTCTCTTTACTCTCAGTCTAGTACTCCTCAGCATCACCTGGGAATAACTCTAGGTTATGAAAGAAAATGTTACACTTTGCATATTAGTTTTCACAATTAAGTTTTGCCTCACATTAAGGACTCTGGCTACATTATATTCTATAACTCTTCTTTTTCATAACCCTATGGCTGTGCATGTCATGAGTGAGGTGTCACTGAATAAAAATATATTACTTTATAGCTTCCAAAATTCTAGCAGTCATTTTACAAACAGATTCCTAACTGCGATGTGTTTTCTTTGTTTTTTATTATAATGTTTATGTCTCATAGAAGATTCTTAAGTTATTTAGTTTCAGAAGCACAGGATATCCTATTAGCAATGGCATTACTTTATGACATTGATAATTTTACTTAATATAAGAATATTTCTGTAAATTCATCAAAATTTTTCTTTATTCAAATTTATTTTTTTATAAATACTAAGTACCTACTATGTGCCAGGCACTAGGCTCTATCAAAACCTGTTTTACTTTTCCCTGGAAATAATTATGCAAAATACAATAAAAAAGGTCAAATTTTCTCCAAATTGGATATGATCAGTTGTAAATCCCCTGGACAACTGTCAGCTTTTAGAAGACTTGGTTGTTCTCTCTAGTGCAAAGGGATCTATAAGCAAGACACATTGGATGAGCTAGGACACTGATTAAATACCATTTTTGAAAGCAGCAGAACAAACTAACAGGAGGAAATGCCCAGTGCTATCAAAACTGTAACACTATAACAATAAAATCTAAACTAAATTGGTGGCATTTACCAAATTGCAGCCACCAGATAAAAGCTGAAATACATATATTAATAAAGCAGAAACATGAGAGAACCGCCTGCTTTGTTCTGCAGAATTGTGAATTCCTTTATTCAAAATGGTAAAAGTCCCTATATTTTGAGAGTCAAACTAATCTTCTAAGTTTACATAAAAATTACAAGCTAGATAAAAAAAATTGTGTCCTTTCAAGTGTGGATAATTTGAGTTATACATAAAAATTTTCATAGACAAGAACTGAGAAGGGGAAATAGCTTATCTATATTTATTTACTTTAATCAACATTTTGAGGAATACATAGGTTTGAGGATGATCTATTTACTTTCCATAAGTCTAAATACATTCTAACATCACTTCAGTGGTCTAAATTCCAAAGCCAGGTAGGGAACAAGGTCCATTTTTGGGTAAGCAAAAGAGTGAGACACAACTAACTATTCTGGGATTACGATTTAAGTTCTCCAGGATTGCAACTCAATCATAATACTAATATATTATCCATGTGCCTTCCATCACACAGCCATTTATGCAAAACTTTATGTTCTCTTCCCAAATTAAAGCTCACTGAGAGTAAGACATGTCTTTAAGTCCAATATCGCGCCTATTATTAGCAAGATCTGCAGAGTTGTTAAAGTCTTCAACAAATTTGTTTCTGGTGAACAAATAAACTACTCAATAGATATAGGTGGCAACACTTTCCTTTACTGAAAATAGTGTCTCATGTATGGTATACATCCTGCACTCTATACCCTGAGAGGGACATTAAGACGAATGGTTATGAAATGCAAAGATGGTAATCCAGCAGTCCTGGCAGCCAACTGGTAAGGCATCCATCTTGCAAAGAAAGTAATCTCTCACCTGTAGTCAACATATAGCTAGAACTTCTTTTCCAGTTGCAGCAGTATTATACTCTCTCAAGATAACACATTCTGTTACTAAAACAGAAATCCGCTAGACTTTATGGAGTGCCTGTTCTTATACGCACTGCCACAGTGGTTTGTGTCATTACATTAAGTGAGGGAAGAAGTGCCATCGCATGAAGTAAAAAAAGAAACCATCACTGAGCATCTACTATATGTAGGTGTATTAAAAATGTTTTCCTTGCTATATTCCCAACCCTTGAATCCCACAAGAAAAGTAGAAGTTGCTCTTTTCACAAATGAGTAACCTGGACTCAAGAGATGAAATGCTCCAAATCAAAGACTTAATCTATTCTACAAAATCAAGTCTTTTTTTTTTCTCAAATGCTTATTTCATTTCTGCAACAGCAAATATCTAAGTATGTAAAGGTGTTCCTAAACAGTGCTTAGGGCATCAGGGGCCACTTGCAGTTGTGTTTGGCAAAGGGCACTAGAATTACTAGCGCCATCAGTCGTGGCACTGGAGTCACTAGTACCACTCGCAGTACTCGTAGGTCATTAGGACCACACCTAAGCTCAAGGATCACCAGGACCCTATCCAGAAGTGTTTGAGCAGGACTGTGCAGCACCTGAGATTGAAAGATATTATATCAACTAGTGCATGCAAAACATACTCCAGCCCTTTGAAGTATCTCCCAACTCCCCCCCAAAAAAAA